TTCATGTTGAGACAGTGTGACCCTGTCTCTACTAAAAATAAATTCATTAGCCAGGCGTTGTGGCAGGTGCCTGTAGTCCCAGCTACTCAGGAGGCTGAGGCAGGAGGATCTCTTGAGCCCAGGCGTTTGAGGCTCAGTGAGCTGTGACGACGCCCTGGCACTCTCCCCAAGGCAACACAGTGAGGGCCTGTATCAAAAAAGCCAAACACACTTGTAATCCCAGCACCTGGGAGGTTGGGGGTGGTGGGGATTGCCTGAGTTCATGGGTTTGAGACCAGCCTGAGCAAGAGAGACTCTGCCTCTAAAAATAGCCAGGTGTTGTGGTGGGCTCCTAGGGTCCCAGCTACTTGGGAGGCTGAGGCAAGAGAATTACTTAAGCCCAGGAGTTTGAGGTTGCTGTGAGCTGTGACGCCATGACACTCTAACAAGGGTGACAAAGTGAGACTCTGTCTCAGAACCAAAACAAACAAACAAACAAACAAAACCCAAGAGGCCTGGGTTCACTCCAGGTTCCAATCCTGGCTCTGCCGCAAACTAGCTGAGTGTCTGTGGGCAAACCTTTTTGCTTCTCTGGGTTCCAGTTTCCTCCTCTTAAAGGGAGAGCCACAGAGCTCCTGCAGCTCAGATCTTGCCCTGAACTGTGCTGTCACAGCAGCACTCACAAGGTTGCTTTACATGGTCTTGGTAGATGCGGGACACATTCCCTCTGTGCGATGGATCTAGGCAGGAATCCTCCTTGGACTGTTTTCAACTCTAAAATGGAGGTGCCCTGACTGTGAAGCGAGCATCCTGGGGGTGGTAATGAACTCCCTGCTCCCTCCTCACCCCTACTACCATAGCTACTTTATCAAGTCTTAACAGAAGAATTGGAGCGAAAACATTTTCCTTTTTCTTTCTTTTCTTTTTTGAGACAGAGTTTCACTTTTGTCATCCCCGGTAGAGTACTGTGGTGTCATAGCTCACAGCAATCTCAAACTCCTGGGCTCAAGCGATTCTCTTGCTTTAGCTTCCCACGGAGCTGGGACTACAGATGCCCACCACAACGCCTGCCTAAATTTAGAGACAGGGGTCTTGCTCTTGCTCAGGCTGGTCTCGAACCTGTGAGCTCAGGCAATCCACCTGCCTTGGCCACCCAGAGTGCAAGGATTACAGGAGTGAGCTACCGCGCCCAGCCCTGAAAACATTTTCTTTTCTTTTCTTTTTTTTTTTTTTTGAGACATAGCCTCAAGCTGTCCCCCTGGGTA